GAAAGTAGAAATCTGTAACTTGAGGTAGCTGCATATTATACTATGAATGGAGATAATGGAGGAATCAGAAGTGAGTTTTAAGAAAAATTATGTAACATACTGTCCATGAACGTGAAAGAATGAGTGGGAATATGAAATATGATTGGACCAATGGAGATATAAGAAAGACTAAAAATGCTGACTATTGGTATCTGCTTAACAATAAATAAATTTCTAAAATATGTTTTAAGGGTAAATGTATTCCTCCGTATACATGTACCCTGTTTCCTCCAAAATAAGACATCCCCAATCGGGCTTTTGAGCGCATGGCAATAAGGCCAAGTGCTTATTTCAGGGTTCAAAAAAACATAAGACAGGGTCTTATTTTCGGGGAAACACGGTAACTAAGGAATAGTTAAAAAGGACAATAGTAAGTCAGAATGATATTGAAAGTGGATCCACTATTATAAACCTAGTGTCTTAAAAAAAAATTGAAAACAAAGTCATATATTTATGTTGAAATATTGAAAGAATGTAGTTGTAAATGTTTTAAATGAGAAAGCATGTTTATCTATGATTGTTGATTTAGTGAAAGCATTTGCTAAAGTAAATAGGCTTGAATTATGGATATTTTGCATAACTATGAAGTCTTAGGTTGGGTGTTGAATATGGTAAAAGGAATATTTGATAGAGGTAAAGTGTGCATGAGAATAAATAGGATGCTTAGTAAATGATTGTCAGGGACTAAAAGAACTGTCTAATGTCCTTTTGGTTGTTTAGAATATTTCTAAATAAACGAATAAGGAGTGCCCATGGTGATGTTATAAATGAACTGGTTGGAAAAATAATAGTTTTTTGAGGCTTCACTGTGGACTGAGAATATGAATGATTTGTAGCTAAAGATAGATGGACTGTACAACACAGTGAGAAATATGGACCTAAAATCTTGTCCCGTTAGGACAAGCCCATCCTACTCGTGCCAGTAGAGAAGACTTACTTTGGATCCCATTGGTCAAAGAACTCCAACTATCGGAATCCAGAAGCTACAGTGCCCACCCTTTGGAACATCTTACCCTCTAAGGTGAAATCTGTCCCCACCCGCTTATCCTTCTGCAAGAGCCCAAAGACATGGCTCTGCCAATTGGCCTGGGGACTACCTTCCCACTCCTTACACTCTGCTCTTTACCATCTTTTTGGTTATCATATTGATGTATTCTCATTGTGTTCTTTTTCATTGTTTATTATATTGTTATATTATTTTACTTCTATTTCTGTTCTGTTTATACTTCTTTCATTTTCTTCCTTTTCATTAATGTAAGCCTCCTAGAATAGTCCCCTAAAATGAATTTAACAGACAAATGAACAAATGAACAACAGGGCCTGGTGGCTCAGCAGACTGATAGCATTGTGATTAATACCAGCTGTCTGCAATTACTGTAAGCTTGAATCTTACCAGGCTCAAGATTGACTCAGCCTTCCATCCTTTCTAAGGTAGATAAATTGAGGACCCAGTTTGTGGGGGCAATAAGCTGACTTTGTATAAATATACAAAAGTATGAAGGCTATTGCTTAACACATTGTAAGCCACCCTGAGTCTTTGGAGAAGGGCGGCATATAAATCAAATTAAAAAAAAACAACAACATTGGTGTATCAAAGAACAAAGTAACTGGGTTTGAGAAAGTTGAAAGAGCAATTTGAAGTTACATGAAAATTGCAAAAAACAGAGTAGATATATCAATTTGTACAACCTTTTAGAATGTTTAAAAGATGGAGAAATTGATGGATTTTTAAAACAGATATGTAAATGATGAAAAAAGTGGGGAGTAGTTGTATGAAATCTGTCATGAGGGATGAATATTTGTGGAAAGAATCAACAATGGCTGTATATAAGAATATGTTTTTGCCTTATTTGTTGTATGAAAGCAAAGGTTATATGAGTAATTACAAGAGAAATGTAAGCTGGATGCTTTGCAGATATGGATACATTAGATAGATAGATGATAGATAGATAGATAGATAGATGAGATAGATAGATAGATAATATATATAATTAAGTTACTTGATTACTGTATTAGATTAATTGTTTCTTCACCTTTCATGATACCAACAGTAAACTCTGTAGCTTGAGGCAGATACTTCTTATGTATTTATATTTATTTATATTTCATACTTCTTAACTGCCCTTATCCTTCAGAAAGGGGCTCTGGGAAGTGTAGAATTTAATAACAAAATTAACCATTAAAACAAAATAATTTAAGATTTATTTTTTTTTAATTTGATTTATATGCCGCCCTTCTCCGGAGACTCAGGGCGGCTTACAATGCGTTAAGCAATAGCCTTCATACTTTTGTATATTTATACAAAGTCAGCTTATTGCCCCCACAAACTGGGTCCTCATTTCACCTACCTTAGAAAGGATGGAAGGCTGAGTCAACCTTGAGCCTTGGAGAGATTCGAACCAGCAGTAAATTGCAGGCAGCTGTGTTAATAACAGGGTACTTAAACCACTGTACTATCAAGATTAAAAATTATTAAAATTATAAAACAAAATTATAACATTTCAAAAGATAGAGAATTCCAAGATGGGGAGGTTAGTAGTTGCTAATACAGATGTGGGTAGGGTTCCTCATAGGGCCATGTTATTTCATGATAGTGCAAGCCATATTTAAGGAACAGTTTCTGTATTGTGAAAATGCTAAATTATAGTGATGCTTAGTCCAGATTTTAATTTAAGTTGCAAGAAGGGCCTATGTTAGGGGTGGGCAACTATGGCAACTTTACGATCCGTGGAATTCAACTCCCAGAATTCGTCAGCCAGCATGGTTGAAGTTCACAGGTCATAAAGTTGCCATAGTTGCCCATCCTTGTTCTAAGTGGTGAATAACATAATGCAGCCCCAAAAATCTCTAAGGCAAATGTATAAAGATATATTTAAGATATGATTATATATCCTGTTGTTTTAATTGTTTCTTACTATCGTTATACTGTCTCTGTTGTTTATATCAATCTACCGCAACTTGACATTCTCCTCATGTGCTGGGACCACATCTGCCAAAATTTGACAATGGTGACTTAGAACTTTGGAATCATAATCTCAACACATCTGGAGAACACCAGTTTGGGGGGAACTTGTTTAGTCAAGGTAGGACATTTGGCTATCCTAGGAAACCTAAACTTCTCAGGGTTAGAAGACAGTGAGAACCCAGACAATGAGAAGTTTGTGCACACGACCTAGCATTTTAAAGAAGTCAGCAGATCCAACATTTAATCAAGTCAGCAAAGACATCATACATTCTTGCAAATAAATCCACAAAAATCCTCAGGTGAAAAATGCTATCTTATTGAGAACTGTCAGAAGAAACAGCAGTTAATTGCTTTTCTATACTTGGCAAGGGATGGGTGGAGCCTCATTCCTCTGACGGTCAGGCTGTTTTTTCTACTGAATTTGGAGGGAAACTAAGTACTCTACTCATTATATGGCAGCCCTTTATTCACTTCTATGCAGATCCTTATGGGCTATGGTTATTGGACAAAAGATTAAATACAAGAGCATCACAGGAATGTAAATAACTGTCTCTGCTGTCTACATTCATCCTGCTTTTAGCATGATACAATTAATTTTCATACTTCTACCTAATAGAAATGCTTTGGGTACCAGATGTAGTCATTAATTTCTCTGATACATAAAGTAAAATCAATGCATTTCCCCCTTCCAGATACTATTAACTACATATTTAAATGTACACAGGAAGGTCCTGCTTGGAGGTGAGGTATGGAAGAGTGGGGAGGTGGAAGAAATAATTATTAGATGTGTCGCCCAAGGCAATATCACTCTGATCCATACTGGGAATCTCTATAATTGTTTTTAGAGTACAATTATATCACAAAATCCGAATGTTTTTTTTAGCCCTAAGGGAAGGATAGTGATAGCTCAATTTTTATAAAATGTTTTATAGATGGCATTTAGATCCTAAAAAGTTGTCATGTATGTACCCTAATGTTCAGCCAAAATGTTGGAGATGTGAATGTTTGGATGCTACGTATTATCATGTTTGGTGGACCTGTAGGAAAGTTAAGGCTTTTTGGATAAAAATATGGTGGGTCATGCAGAATGTTTTGAAGAAAAAAATTCAATTTTCTCCACAATTGTTTTTATTGGGCATAGTTAAGGGTTTTACACGGGATGAAACAAAATTAATATTGTATATGATAACAGCAGCAAGATTGTTGATAGGTAAATATTGGAAGAATGAAGCTTTGCCTACTATCGAGGAATGGACTTCGAAGATGGCCAGTTTTGCAGAGATGGCGAAGATTTCAGCATATTTAAAAGATTGTTCACAAGAGACTTATGAATGGGAATGGAAAAGGTGGATAGAATATGTTCAGAACAAATACCAAATTAGAAAGTATCAAATAGCTTTTATTTGAAAACAATGTATTAGAAATATTTTAATATAAAGAGACAAAGAGGGAAAATTATATAGGGGGAGGGATGGGTTCAGGTATATATATCAGTGTTATTAGTTATGAGTACATAATAGGGAAGTCTGGGGGGGGGAGGGTTAGGGAGGGTTAGGGAGGACGGGAAGTTTGGGGAGGGAGGTGGGGGGGTGAAAAAAGGGGTGAAAATGTAATTGTAAAACTTTTGCAATAAAAAAAAAAAAAGATATTTATATAGCTTCAGAAATTGCAATATATGTCATACTCTAGTTAGAATATGATAGGAAGGATGCACAGAAAAACCCTTCAGAAACAAGGCTGCCAATATTTTAATTCTGATTTTATATTGCTTCCATATATTAGCACTCTAGAATACTACTGTCCTTTACATATATTAGCTAATTACATTAGAGTGGGAAGATTATGTTTGTACTGACTGTTTACTTATCTTTTCTAGTGATATGAATGAAATGAATGTTTTTCTGAGATATTACAGAATGAAATTTCACTGGTGAATAGAATAGAATACGTATTTAATGTTTGGTGTTCTAATCAGATAAGTACATACTGTTCTTACCTCTTTGGGTTCAGTAGATTCTTTTCTTTTAGGAGGTTGACCAGCACCAGGCAAAAGTGCTCCCATTGGGATGTTGATATTTGCCTGGAAATTGGATAACATATAAGTGCATGAAGTTATATTGTAGTAGATCTACAAAAATTAAGAGATGGATGGAGTTTTCTTGATTGTCCAGGCAAATTATATTTGTTTCTCGTCTCTTTTATTAAATTTCTTCTTTTATTATTTTAAATTTAGGCAAATTCAAAATAAGATTAATTCGGACAGCAAAATCTTACATTAAATTTCCATATCAGTGGCAGCATCCCGAGCCTTGTTTATATGGAACATATAAATTATGGTAGTGCTTTATTATATTAGTGCTTAATATAATCTGGTGCTACTATATTAATGTATAAGGGAAACAGAGGTTTATATTTAAACCCTATGTTTTTCACATTTTCCTATAAAGGACAACTTTTTTTGTCTAAGGTTATGGTCATTGTAAAATCAGAGCCCTCTGTCAAGAGCTGTGGTGGAGCAGTGGTTAGAATGTTGTATTGCAGGCTAACTCTGCCCACAGCCAGGAGTTCGATCCTGACTGGCTCAAGGTTAATTGATCCTTCCATCCAGTGGTGAAATCCTACTGGTTTGCACCGGTTTGGGCGAACTGGTAGTGATAAAAGCTACTGGTTGGGCGAATCAGTAGTAAAAAAAACCTCTGATTGGTCCGAACCAGTATTTCCAATGATCAGGTGTGCCACACAATTTATATTTGCTGGAGAGCAGGAAATCCTGTTTTCTAGTGAATCTAAATAGCGCGGTACAGCTGTTTCCCCCTCGCTGTTCTACTTACCTTGTTAAGCATCCTTTTTCCACGTGAAGCGCACGTTTGGCACACACTCATTTTAAATAGTAATCACCCATATCCAAGCTAACAGAAAGGTATGCTGGTGTAAAATTTGTCTTCTAATTGCTGATAACTATCTACTATCAGTTTGGCCACAATACTGTAAAATGAAGCTATCTTTAGGAAGTGTGAGCAAGGCCTCTTGAGGAAAGAAATTGGAAGATTTTCCCTAGCTGTCATCTGTCCCATTGGCATATGCAGCAAAAGAAACTCCTGGGACATTATTTTACCAAGAGTATGACTTTACTGATAGATCAATACGAGCATAGAAGAAGCAAAGCTAGCTGTGAGGTTTTCGCATGAAAAACAGCATAGTTAATCTTCTCTTTTCCCCATTCAGGCCACCCATTGTCCATCATCCATCAATCCAACACATTCTTTTTATTTTGGGAAAACAGTCTGCACCTTCAGAAGGTTGGCATATAAAATGAAAAAGGAGAGAGGAAAAAGTTAATTAATCAGCTAGTAGACGAGGAAGGAACTATATGTTATTGAAATGAGGAAAAGAAAAAAATAGTACAGAACTATTATGAGAAACTCTATAAACAAGAGATGAACTCAGGAGAAAAGATAAAACAATACTTAGAAAAATCTGAACTACCCAAAATATCAGAAAAATACAAAAAGGCATTAGAGGAAAGGATAACGATGATGGAATTAACACACAGGATTAAAACACAAAAGAATGGCAAAACGCCGGGCTCAGATGGATTGCCCACAGAGCCATACAAAACTTTACAGGATGTAATAAGCAATACAATGCTGGGTATTTAACGAACTCCTGATAGAAGTGAAGATACCAAACTCATGGATGGAGGTATATATTACTCTTATACTGAAAGAGGATACAGACCTGCAACAAATAAAAAATTATAGATCGATTTCCCTGTTAAACATAGATTATAAGATATTTGCATCAATAATGGCTGATAGACTCAAGAGATTGTTAAATGAATTTATACACACAGACCAAAATGTTTTTTTACCTAAGAGACAGATTAGAGACAATATGACAATAATATTAAATACTTCGGAATATTATGAAGCTCATCCAGAAAAACAAATGGCATTGATGTTTCTTGAGGCACGAAGGCATTTGACAATGTGAATTGGCAATTTATGATAAAACAATTACAGACTATTGGCTTTGGGGGGGGAGATTTATAAATATGATTAAAACAACTTATTATAAGCAATCAGCAAAGGTGATAGTAAATGGAGATATGACAGAGGAGATTAATATTATGAAAGGTACAAGGCAGGGATGCCCTCTATCCCCATTATTATTTGTGTTGACATTAGAAGTATTAAATAGAAACATAAGACAAAATGAAGAGATAAAAGGTATGAGAATTAAGAAAGAAGAATATAAACTACAGGCATTAGCAGACAATTTAAGTGTTTATTTTAGAGGAGCTGCAAGAAGTAGGGCCAAAACTAATAGAACAAATAGAAGAATATGAAGAAGTGGCAGGATTGAAAATTAATAAAGACAAAATGAAAATATTGGTGAAAAACATCACAGAGAAGCAGAAAAGGGAATTAATGGAAAAATTAGATATTCAGATTACTAAAAATATAAGATATTTAGGAATTCAATTAACAGCAAGATGTATAACAATTAAGGAAGATAATTACTGTAAATTGAAAAGACAAATTGATATATAGTTGGAGAAATGGAAGAATTTACAATTATCATTAATGGGAAGAATAGCAATAATTAAGATGAATATATTACCAAGATTGTTGTTTTATTTCGAACAATACCAATAAAATTAGAAAAAAATATTTTGAAAATCTTAATAAAACAATAATGAAATTTATATGGCAAGGGAAAAAAGTGAGAATTAACATAAAAATGTTACAAGATGCAAGACTTAGAGGAGAGTTTGGACTACCAAACTGGGAACTATATTACCAAGCAGCAAAATTATCATGGATGAAAGAATGGATTGTACTGAGAAATACAAGATTATTGACATTTGAGTGACATGATTTACAACTGGGTTGGCAATCTTTTTTATGGTATGGGAATATTTTCAAAGACATTATGTAAGCAATGCTTTATTATTAGTATGGGAGAAAGTTAGAGAAAACCATTACTTGAAAATACCAACGTGGCTTTCAACAATGGAAGCATTAATACATCCAAATATTATCAATATGAGAAATATTATTAGATATAAAGATATCTTATCAGAAAAGGGGGAATTGAAAACGAAACAAGAATTAGAAGAACAAGGGATTGATAAGGTTTGGTATACACAATTGCAAATACAATCAAGATATGAAAAAGATGTTAAATTATATGGTGTAAGGATTGCCTCTCTTTCCAGTTGTGGGACTCGGGGCTGGTTGGGAATGGGCGCCGATGTGTGTGCTGCCTGGGGGGGAGGGTTTGCTGGGTCTTCTCCCGCTGCTGCTGCACCATCTGATCAATAGGCAGGCTCCAGAAGTGGGGGTGCCTCCCATGGCATCATCCATGACTGTTGCCCTTTCAGCACTCTTTGGTTGTTGCCCTGGCTCCCCTCAGATGTTGAGATTTTCCAAAGTTTCCATCACCAATTGGATTATATGCCTCTTCAGACAATCCTCAGTGGTGTTTCGGTTATTCCCCCCTGGTCAGCAAGGGCTTCTAATTTCAGTTTACACCCTGGTTTTCAGTTGCCATGGCTGAGGGTGACTCCTCTGGTTCTCTCATCCCAGCTACCTTTCTTCCCAATGCTAATTGACCAGTGGGGCTTTTCAGGATTCTCCAGGGTTACCTCATCCTCTCTGATGGGATGTAGAAAACAGGCATCCGACTGGGTGGCGGTTGATGTCTCCCCCCAGCATTCATCTTCTCCCAGTTCTCTGCTTCATTCAGACATGGTTTGCAAGGTCCCCTTAGTAGAGCGAAGATTGATTCTCTGAGTTGACCATTTTTCAGATCTTGCTTTCTGTAAGGATTGCCTCTCCTTCCAACTTAAGAAAGTAAAGACTCTTGAAACGTGGTAGTTCAAAAAGATCCTTTTATTAAGCAGAAGTAATAGCAATCAAGTTAAAGCAAGATTTGAATACCCTTAGGCAAGACAAGTAGGATTAAAGCAGTACAGACCCCTCCCTTTAAGTCAGAATGCAGATTTTAGCCAATACACAAGTGTGAAGATGTTTTCTTTACTAGTTTCCTTGAGAACCCAAACAAACATGTATTCACACTGTTATCCTTTAAAGTGAAACAACCCACATGGCTATCATAAACATTCCTCCATGTTAAGGAGGGCTCCATGATCTCAGGGCTCTTTGGCACAGGATATAGGTTGTAAAATATCTGTTGACACAGGGAATGCTAGTAAATCGAATCCAAGTCTCCCCCTTCTCCCAATTGATTGGCAGTATCACTTTTAGGGATCTGACATATGGTTTTTACTTGGAGATGACAGAATTGGATGAGATACTCACAGGAACAGATGAGAGAATGATTAAAAAGTTGTATACCCTGTTTTCCCCAAAATAAGACATTCCCTGATAATAAGCCCAATCAGGCTTTTGAGCGCATGGCAATAAGGCAAAGCGCTTATTTCAGGGTCCAAAAAAATATAAGACAGGGTCTTATTCTCGAAGAAACACAGTAGCTACTTACTTTGTATCAAATTAGAAGAAGAACAAATAAAAGAAACAATGATAGCATGGGCGAAAAACTTTGGGTATACAATAGAGCTAGATAAATGGGAAAGAAACTATAAATTGACAATGGCAACAGCATATAAAGAGAATTTATACTGTATAAAATGTTTTATAGATGGCATATGTCACCAAAAATGGCTAAAATGTTTAAAGATAAATCAACTAAATGTTGGAAATGTCATCAGACACCAGGTTCGTATTATCATATGTGGTGGACATGTGCAGAAGCGAGAAACTATTGGGCAAAAATTTGAGTATGGTTAGAGAAAATGACTCAGCAACATATCGATTTAAAACTGGAGCTGCTTTTATTAGGTATTTTACCCAAGAAATTTACCAAAGAAAATGTATATCTGATTATTCATGTAATAACTGCAGCGAGAATTGTATTTGCACAAAATTGGAAAATGGAAAAAATCCCTACAGAGGGAGAGGTAATTAAAAAAATATTAGAATGTGCAGAAATGAATAGATAAACATTGGCAATTAAAGGGAAGGAAGAATCGAAGTATTATAACATATGGGGGCA